TCAATTAGACATTAACATGCTAATCCACTTGTAAGCAGTAAAACTACGTGAATTTTCATTTTTAAACTTTTACTTTAACACGAACACAGTTTACATCAATTTAAACAAACAAGTTTATGCCATATTATATTTTTACAGTCAATGCCAGTCAATGGAGTCAATGCAAAGAACTATGCCTGTAAGTTGGTAAATAGCAGGAAAGAATGCAGTGTCATCTTGTGTCAAAATATAAAATAATTCAATCAATATAATATATCATTTATCAATTTAATATAACGAAAGATTAAAATTATAGCTATAGAAGGTATGAATTTATTAATAATATGAAGGGATATTTATTATTACTTTTAAAAACTTAAAATAATTAAGTACTTAATCATGTATAGATCGTTATGTGTGCCTGGAGTCTGTGGATCGTTTTCTTTCGTATTATTTCTAAAAAATCGTACCATATCCCATATTATTCAACAAAAATAAAAATATTAAGTAATACATTAATAAAGAAAATATATAATTTTCGTTTCCGCAGTATAGTAATATTGTTGGAATAAAATCGAGAGTAACAAAAATAATATATATTTCTCATAAAAGTTTAAATCTAGATAATATGTAAGTAGATAGATTGTATAGTGCAGTGATTAGCTTTCCATGAGATAATATTATACCTACCTCATGAGAAATCCACACAGATAAAAGTTGGCGCACATCAGCAGTTGTCTCGGCCAGTAATTGTCTTCGCACACTGCGTTGAAACCTGACTCCACAATTGCAACATACACTTCTATTTTCATTGTATGCTGATCTAGCAGATTCCATTTTCTTAAAATCGCATATAAATACAAAAAAACAGTAGCGTAACGAACGTCAATGCCGTTAAGATTAAAGACGTAGGTAATACCCCGCCGCCCCGCCCCGCCGTACCCGGCCGCCGGCCGCTGGGAATTACCGGAAGTCAATGATAAAATAACGTTTTGGTTCACAGTCATTTAGAACTATGTTATAACGTGATATTAGCTAAAATTTTTAGAAATTAAACATAAAGTTCTTAGTGGTATCTTTTTTTAAGTCAGCTTTGTGAAAAAATAGTTTTCTTTTTATACAAGCTGCAAAATGACTAATTAGGTACACGCATTTTACCCATATTACACTAATCAGAACACGAATATCAAAACAACTAATTTTTTTTCGTATTTCTTGATTCCGTTTACATTTTCGAAAAATCTGTAGGCCATTTACTATTATAATTTGGTGTCTTTTTTTTGATGTAATACCATTAGTGGACGTTAATATTTTTAGTGGGCCCAAAAATGATTGTCCCCTTTATGTGTATTTTTTTTAATATCACAGAAGATGGTGATTACCTACAACAAATTTTTCTGCTATAGCAGAGGTCGATGTCCAGTTTACAGTTAATGATAAAGAAATATAATGAATACTTGTCATATATAGCTGGAATGCGAACAAACCCTCTGCTCAGTTTGTAGTACCTACATTTGAAAAATTAAAAAAAATCCACGGTTACGTTACAGCTGCCCTATTTATGTCACTTAAGGGACCATACACGAATGTTCAATTAACCGAGACGTATCCTTTCAATGTCACATGTCAGCCACATGTGGCAGACGACACGCGCTATATTTTTTTTAAATACCACTTAACCTACTGTTAAGAAGTATCTAAAATGGCAAATAAAAAATACTAACGTATAAATTAAAAAAGGGAACATCGTTTGCTTGAAATTGTTACATGGCTAATGGGAAAACCTATTAAAATCTTAAATCTGTGCGCTATCATATAGAAGATTTACACTTAATTATTTTACATTTCTTGGAAATTATATTATGTTTATGAATACAGGAAGCGGTGGCGAATACATTGTATACTTATCAAATAAATACTTTGTTGTTAGAGGAATGTAAATATCTTAATAATTCTAACAAAAGTTTCTTTTTTAAGCTATTAAATGCGTGTCTTTTGTAATTGACTACGCAGCGACAACATGGAGCTTCTTTAAAACAGAAAGACCGCCCGCGTTGAAATCTTTAGTATGAAGCGATATAATTATAGACGACGACGTAGCAACGTCGTGTAGGTAGGTACTGTTAGAGTAATTTGCGGGAGAATACTTTTGTATAGTAATAAATGTGTTAAATATTTAAATGTGTAGTCTGTTTTTATTTAGAACATTGTACTTACGATTTTTTGTATAAGAAATAATATTTTATTTCAATATACTGCTTGGAATATTTTAAAGCATTTTAATCCCACCTTTAATTATAAATTATAATACAATGACATCAAGCAAATAATTTATAATAAAATTTTTATAATTGTAATGATGAACAAAAGTTCATACATACATTATATACATTTTATTTAAAATATATCATAATTTAGCATAGAGAAAAACCAATATGCACCTATACTAAAATTAGAGTAATAAATATTATTGTGATAAAATGCATGCTTTTTGTTCTGTTTTATATACACACCTACTGAGATGATGTGAGTGAGTGAGAGAGAGAGAGAGAGAGAGAGAGAACTTCAAATCTAGAAAGTTTCGTAAAATCTAGAAAGTTAGTAAATTTACGTGCTTATGGTTTTAAAAGATTATGCGACAAGTCAAAGCCAAGTAAAATAGAGAAAGGAGACAAAATGTTAAATACGCTAGGAGTTTCTCCTTTGTCTTGTAGGCGTTTTATATACATAAAAATCTTAATAGATCATCTAGTCGCGAGTGTACGTATTTAGTTAAAATATTATAAATGTAATAAACAGCACACGGCACGAGGTTCAACGAGTGTCTTGTGTGGAAGCACGTGGTTCTGCGCAGGCCGCGGCGGTCTCGGGGGCTCGCGCGCTGCCATTGGCCAACACCGCCCCTCCCATCGCGGCGCACGCGCATCTACTCGTACAGTCTACAGTCTCGTTTATTGACGGTCTTTGTAATTCCAGAGGAATTTGAGACAAGATTGCGTTAATTTAGCATTTGTAGATATTTCATATAAAATAAATTTAGTGGAAAAAGTTTTTGTTAATATCGAATCAATTATTAATTTTATTACAAAAAAAAAATAATGATGAAAATTATCAATTTTATAGTATTTTACGTATTGAAAACTTGAAAATAGAACAAATTTGAAATTGCGATAAAGGTTATCCCCATTTGGTATATTAATTAAACGGCGCCATGGCCCCTGAAATAGTTACAGTAAACAGTAACTGAAACATTAACAGTCTCTTGAATCAGTAAGAAATTTAAAAAAAGAATAAGAAGAATAAAAAGTGTTCTTAACTACTAGGGTTCAGAAGATTACGGAGTCATTGAAAAATATTTAATACCTTATATCATATAAATTATGCTGATTTAAAAAAATGTCTGTGATACCATTGTGGATAAAAAATATGGTACAATACAGAAAAATATTCAACCGGATGGATTTTTTTTACTAAAAATGCAATTGCACGTATTTACAGTTTTTCGATTGAATGAATTATGGATTTTTATAGGAATATTATCAATAGAAATTGTTACCGTTTAAAGATAGAAGGCAAAGATTTACATAGCATTTTCAATTGTTATAATTTTTTTTTATAGAATAAGGGTGACAAACGAGCACACAGTCCACCTGATGGTAAGTGGATGCTGTGGCCCATAGACATCTACACAGATCCTCGATTAAGAATCAAAATGCAGATGCAATGTCACCCCTAAAGAATAACATGGAATGCCTCGTTTCCGCAAAAAAGTAAATTAATATATAGGTAATAAATAGTATAATTTTAAATTAAATTGATCCAATTTTTCGTGTGGTAGCGGTCTAAGAGAATCCATCACTCCATTTAGTCTCGTGGGTGCGTTAGATACGATTTTGAAAAACGGTACAAAAATCATTCGGCTTCCGATAGATGGGATATAACCAACTCGTTTATGTCAGAAGTTAAATACTGAGACCGGCGACGGGCAGCAGGGTTAAGAGTGCGAGAATTCTGCCACTGTGATCGTTAATCAAACGTGAAGGTTAAGGCAAATCCTTTCAACAAAGGAAGAGGCTCAGACCCAGTAGTAGGATTAACGGGCAGAAAAAGAAGATATAATAGTAGATAGATATATGGACTTCTTTAAAAATATAATACGTAAATAATCAGATTGCACACAAGCACCCTGTTCTGTTACAATATACACAATAAGGAGAGATGGCCTGGCCTCCTGTTCTCTTCCATCTCCTGGGTGGATGACTGGGTGGATGAAAAAGCCACCTAACGCTGCTGATAGATTTTACAGGCTAGTGCCAGCTAAACGGGCACCATTATCATTATGAGGATATTGGTATTGGAGGAACTTGTTTGCCCGATGGCGTCAGCATGGGCTAATCTTACAAGCGTTTTCAGGAAAGCCCTTGTAGACTGTAAGTTTGTTTTACGTAGGTACGAGATGCATAAACAGAAATATTAGTAAAGCTTTATTTTTTTTAATAATACAATTAAAAAATTTAAAACGAAAAATGTTTATTCTACAAGTAAGAATTTATTAATTTGTTCATCTCATACCCAGGATACTATCCAGATACTTTACGAGTAATACATGAAACAATTCATTAATTCATTACTCTACATTATCAACGACTTATTTCTAAATGCCAATTATAAAACGAGAATTTGAATAGCTGATATAAGTTCAAATGAAAGTACTTTATATTTGGATGTAATTTGAATGACGCCAAAGTATTATGAAGCTCGATTACAAGCCATCGTAATCCAATAACGCAAGGTTATCTAACGCCATGGAGCCGAATTGCATAACGTAAATCTAATGACCCAAACACGACAAAGATTACACAAAAAAAACAGAAGTGTGAGACCAATCGGGCGGTAAGGCAGGTACGGCCTCCCACCATAAGCGACTCCGCCTCGGGAGTCGAGCCGTCCGCTTGTCAGACGTTACCGTGCTACGACCGACCGCGCTCATGTGAAGGTACGCGGGGTCCGCCCATCGCAGAATGAAGTGTCTGTGGTTGTTTGTGCTCACTGTTCTGTGTATAAGGTGCGAAGCCGCAGGCAACAAGCCTCGGAGAGGACGCGGCAGCATGTGGTGGTAAGGAGTGCTACTTGTCAATTCTGCGTAATATGTCTTTGGAATTTTGACTTTAACCCACTTATATTTATAATCTAATTTCGAATGACTGCAAACGGTGTTTACGCAAAGCCAGTACTGTGCCTTGTAATGCGTAACATGAAATGATGTCTTAAAATTTCATTCATTTCTCGAAATAAATACTAATATTACCCATTACTATAGTACAAGTCGTTTTATGCTTTACATTTCCGTTATCTTTTAATAAATTAAATGTTACAATGACCTATAAGTAATTATTTATAAGTTAAAATTTGCATTAAAGTCGAAGAAGAAGCATGCTCTGCTAGTGCCTAATATATATATATGTACTAGTTAAAATTTTTAAATATATATATAGCTAGGCTATTATATGTACATGTATGATAAAGTGCACAGTAACTCATGGTATGCAACATAGTATCCACTGTGTTGAATTTAAGCAGATGTTGTGGATTCTTTCTTTTATAATACAAGTGCGGATATTTAGCGAATCATTAAACGAGGCGTTAGCATTCTCGCGAGGTATCGATAATGGTGTACTAAAGATAAATTCTTAACCCGCACATAGCACAAGATTTTACTATGTTACGACGTAGTATTCTGTTATACTATATGATACAAAAAGTAAATCTCAATCCTTGACATTATTTTTCCTCTTAGTATGTTCTTATTAAATAGAATTTGATATCATTTGTACTCATAAATTCGTCGACTTGAACTTTTGTTTTCTGACAATCCTATGTGATTTTACAAAAACAACCTACCTCTATATACATATCTTAAGATATATTTAAATATAAATCAAATTTTATACTTAGGTATAACAAATACTTGGTGAAAAACATTCAGGAGTTAAAGTGTTTTCTTTATAATGTAGATTTAAGGCATTAAAATATTTATTCTAAACGATATTAAAATATAAACGTAAGGATATGACATTATTTAATAATTTTATTGTAGCTTTTAGCATTCTTCATTCATTTAGAGTCACCTAAAAGTAGGTATTTTAAAGTTTTCTTTACTCCAAATGATATTCAATGGAAAAATATAACAAAACATTGTTAAAGCTATAATATAAACTTAAATGCTAGGTACTTTAAAGACGCGTGTACAACGTTTCCCGGGTGATGGACGGGAGCGTCAACTTTATATTTGCGCTTACTATCTACTATCACCTGGCTCCTGGTATGCGACTTAACTAATCCCTATTTTATAGAGTCTAGATTCTATCAGAATTACTATATAGGCTTGATTTTATTAGAAAATATTAATTTAACAAAAAATAAATATTATTTTATACAATTATCAAATGAAATATGTATCTATCAAAGTTAATTTTAATTTACTTTAAGTCTTTTGTCAAATTTTAATGATTAAAATTTAAAACGGGCATATTTTTATTTAGTTTTAAATTTAAAAATTACTTGTAAAATAATGGTTTATTTAATTTAAAGTTAAAAAAAACATTGATCTTAGTTTTCAAACCATATTTTCCCTCGCTAATATTGGAACAGAAACAGAAAAGGAAACTTTTTATTCAATATTTATTTTAAATAATACTTATTGAATGTTACTTTTTTAATTTACCACTGGTTGGAAAAAAAAACTTTGTCCTGGGAAGAACCAGCAGGAAACCCAGAGGAACTTAAAAAAACAGCTTACAATCATGTATGTTATATTACAACAACACAAAACAAGTTAGAAATAGCTTAGTAGTGATCACTTTTTATTATAATATCTCACTGATTACGCCTCCACTGAGCCAATCGTTAACTTAAAGTAATTTAATTTACTTAGGTACCTATGAATATGCTTAAATTTAATATCGGTAGCGATGAAATCAATCGAAGCTAAAACATTAATGACTCTTGTCGCAACTCGCAACTAATGTCTTTGCTCAAAAAGTTTACTGCTTAGTTTTAATTGACACTATTTCTTTTACAAACATAATCTTTAGTGGGTTTTTAATTAAGTCCTAAAAATAATTTTAAACAGGTATAATATTAGAGTGGCAGATGAAGTAAAAATTTATCTGATGGTATGTAAATCATATTGTCTATATATGAACACCTACAGCCAACTTTAAATAAAGGTAAAGATAAAATGAATAGTCGCGACTCAGGAATAAGTTCCTTATTCTTTTAACTGAGTAATAATTAAAATATCCAATTATTGAATCAATATTATGAATTAAATTTTAATTGTCCAATGATTGATAAATAGTTAGTAATCTCCACAACAGTAAACTGAATATAAAACACATGTATTACACTTATGCAATAAAAAAATTTAATCTCAATATCAAACAGAATTATAATAAAAGTTTTTAATATATTGAAAAACTAGTTATTGTAGGAACATGTCTGTATTAAACTAAAACAAAAATCATTATTAAAAATAACGAAAAGTTTACATTAAGCGATTCATTTACAAAAGATTTACAATATTCAAAGTTGAAGCTGTATTCGGTGGCCGCCGGCGGCACATAAATTAATAAATGGTAGTTGAAGTTCTCGTTTGGTATATAAATGTACGTTTTGATTAAATACAATACTAATAAATAATTGTTTCTATGATAATAAATGCAAATTAATGAATGTAAAATACTTGCATATAAAATACAAAAACTATAAGACTGGATAGAATATGTATGGATAAGTAGCCAAAAAGCTTAAACGAAAGTGATAAATTTCGTTTTCACTTCACACTAGTGTTTGTATTTTTTTTTCAATACACATATACTTAATCATTTTTAAGGCGTAGACACACTTTTATATTTCTTACATGGTTTAATTTTTATACCTATGTTTTAAATTGTGCAGTATTTGGTTGTCGTAAAATATGATGACGGTACAGCCAACGTCGGTCAGTAGAGTCAAAGATCCTAGAAGTCTGGTACTGTACTGTACTTCTATTCCTACTACAACAGGAGACGCTTATCACCGTAAGGAGAAATTTAAAAAAACGCAGCGGATTATCGTTATATCCATTCTCTCCTGTTGCATCGACTTGCATACACACGCACACAGGTACACGCCACTCGAATTGGGGAGAATTTTCTCGGCTCTAAAATTATTTCATAAATGAGAGATCTAAATCCAGCTTTAGAATGGATGTAGACTGTTAAAATGCTTTATTAATAATTACATAATAATATATCTGCATATAAAACAAAACCGTGAGTAATGTATTAATAAACAATAAAACATTAAAAATCTTTCACAACCTTATAATTTTTCATCCATATATAATCAACATGAAATTATAATGATGGTTGAACAAATACAATATGAAATAATTTTAAAACCGTGTCTAATAAATTTGTAAGGTGCAGTTACACTTATCATAATCACTCAGTATCATAGTGGCTCGTGCTCATTCCATTAAACAAATATATTTTTACTTGTATGTACAACAAAATCAACTTTCGTGATCGTCGCCTAATGTGCTTAGGGTATAAATTCCCAATATAATCGAATAAGGCCAAACGTTAAATGAAAGACGTTACGTAATAAAAATAAAAATAAATACGTTAGTTTACATTTGTAATTCGGAGAATTCGAAAATAGATTTCAAAAAGTAAACGGTAAAAAAAAATTCTACACTTTTTAGTTATAATAGTCAGCAATTACAAGTGTAAATAGAATTCTTCCTTTATGTCCTTTGTGTTTCCTTAGTGTTTCATTTTTGACATTTGAATCCCAACACAAATGACAGACAGAGGTAATAACGCTGTCTTTCTTTTATAATTATATACTATACTATACTATTTTTATTAAGAAATAAACTTCAGATAGTTTTAAGACAGCGAAATAAAAATTAAAAAGTAATTCACACCAAATTGTTTTTTGTGTCTTATCACCAATTTATTATAAGAACTACCATATTTAGATCTACGTTCGGCTAAATTTAGAACCCTTTCGACCTGCTGACCTCAGTTACAATCAATCTTGCTGAATGTTACAATCTCGATTTAAAAAAAATTGCCACTCCTCAGCTAATTCGTATTCATCAGGCGTAGTCCATATTACATTACGTCCGAAATCGCGTGCCGGCGCGGCGTCACGATAGAATTGATAACAGTGTCCAATTTAACATGAAACCCGGTTTCGCTTTATATCGCTTGGTTGTTTCAAAATTTAAAGTCGGAATTGGCGAGATTCTGGTATACGAAACTTGGTCGTACCAGTGTAATATTTTGACGCCTCGTAAGATGCCAACAAATTAAATAATAAGGGGTTAATTTGTATGCGAATTGCGTGCGATGAGTCAAAGCAAACTTTAAAAAGGAAGCTGCATGTATTTTATTTATATGTATATTGATAATAAGTGGCTAAAATCTTAACATAAATATTTACCATATAAGGAACTTAATAATATTTAAGAACATGTTAAACAAAATTAAATATTTTTATAATAATTCAAAACACAAAGGAACCTATTAGTCGACCCATTTTAATCGCCGCCGGCATCTATGAAACAGTTCACGAAGTTTTCTCGATAAACAATAAATATTTTAAGTTTTTAAATTAATTGTTTATTGAGAAAACTTCGTGAGGGAACTGACACGTCTTAGAAAAAAAAAATATAATATATAGTTTAGCCATATTAAGTTTTCTTTCTGTCTGTTGCTCCAGTTGGTCTCTGTCATAATTAGAAGAACCAAACGTGTCATCCGGGTTAGCAATTACCTATAGTAACAGCGCGCTATTTTTCATCCCTATCTGGATATGTATAGTTTTGTTTGTATCCGTTTCCAATGTCTGTCGTAGTCCACAAAATCTTTTTGACATCAACGCTATACACCTCTCATGTCATCACGTTCTTTACGCTCGTGTCAAACCTCATGAAGCTGATATCCCGGATTGTGTGGATATTGCGTTCTCCGTTCAAACTCCATCTAAGTGTTTGCATTTTTAGGGGCCTTCTGAGACGGTAAGGCAGTTTTAAGAAAAAATGTCACTACGGTAACACTTAAAATAAATGAACTTTTCACAACATACATAACATAACATACATAAACACTCACGTCTGTCACCCAGAGGGGTAGGCAGAGACTACAGACTTCCATTTGGCACGATCCTGACACACCTCTCTTGCCTCCTTCACATCCATACACCTACGCATACATGCTCGCCGGTTAAGGGTACTCCTAATTTGGCCCTAACTTTTCACAAATCGGGCAATAATAATCTACCGCGATTATAGTGTTGCATTGACATTCCTTTTTATTTTGAACCAATAATTTATTCATTACGGCCTATGAAAAGTCTACTGCTGAACATAGCTTGCGGCCTGAAAGGCCCTAAAGTCACATGAAGAAGTAAGAGCCGTATAGGCTACTGCACCAACATCACAGAAAACAGTTAGATGATGCGAGCGCTTGGCCTCTGAGTTACCACGGCCTAATGTATTTAAAATATTTATTTGATACATAAGTTATAAAAGTCGCAAAAGACCTTAATGACCTGAATAGCAAGTGCCATAAGTCTCCACCTAAGACAATATTTGTTATTTTGACACATTCACACAGGCTTTATCTTTGTGCAAACATCACGTTTGCTTGTGAAAGCTATTCACGATTTTTTCCCGGGCATCTCGTGTCTTGTATTTGGTTTCCTACCAAAGTGACAAGTGTAAAGGACTTTACTCATCGACAGACAAACATGGACATCCCTGGCAGTGTTCCAAGAGAGATAAACGTTTGTAGTAAATTCATTTGGTTTTTTTTATGAAAAAATAAATTGTATTTCAAAGCACTAGTATTATTAATACCATGGGCTTAAATACTGTATTGCTTAATATTTCTCCAATATTAAAGAATAAAGTAGTTACTTACTTCTCTACAGAATAGTAATCGCTACAAAAGTATAAATTAAAGTATTTTAATACTTTTTTGCCAGTAGGTGGGATTGTGGTTAACATGCAAAAAATTTGTTAAACTATGGGAACGCGATTACTATGTTTTGAATAAAAATTAAACTCAGGATTTTGTGTTTTTTTATATTTTGTTTGTGTTTTTAGCTTTAACTTATTTTATATTTTCCAGTACTTTGGAGCGATGTATTCGCTCACGAGGGGTGAGGTGTCGGACATCCGTGTCAGATAACCCAGACAACCTTAATTTTAATGTAAAAATAAAAATTTACATTACTTAAGAAACGTATATATAGAACGTTTTTATTATTAAATATTCAAAAGTACAAAAATAGTATTCCTTTCGCTAAAATACTTCTGCAACTTTAAAAACGCGTGTTAGTAGGTACATAGGTCATATCATAGCTTTTGAATAGCGGCATTAAACTCCAAAACTGCCGCAGCGTCTCCATGAATTCTCGAAGGAAATGAGAATTTCCGACTAGCGTGTTCATATTTACGTTACACTTGACTACAAAGAAAGACAAATAGAAAAGTAATACGATTTCCAGAGCGCTTAGACACCGCGTTGTGCGAGAGAGCGCACGTATCTTTTTAAAGCCTTTACCTTTAACAAGAAACTTAAAACTCCTAAAACATCAGCTTGGAAATGAATGAGATTCATCGATTGTTCTCTTAGCGTAAAATAGGCAATATTATTAACGAAGCTGTGAATGTACAATGCCGTTGTTCGAACCTTGAGCGATATAGAGGTAACAATATGTACTCGGCATACTATGGCGAAGCCGACGTTTACAGGGCCGAGATGTCGATCGCTCTTGGCCTATGTTTACTCGCTCGGCCCTCGAAGATTAATGCGCGACGCAAATATTTATCTAAACGTCTGCAGATTGACATTTCGGTCGTCAATTGTTTGTTGTCTTTGCCTTCTCAAATGAGCATTTCATTTCGAGTTGCACCCATTGCCTTAAGTGGCGTTCAGTTTTTGTTTATTTAATTTTTTTTTAATACTCAGTCGCACGGTTGGGGTGACGATCTTGGCATTGTTTTTCATTATGGTGACAAAAGGTAATCGTGATTGTTGATTACCTTTGTTGTATTATACCTGTCGTTTAATAATTTAAATGTTATGAAAACTTTTAGTGATTTACCACTATCACTTCTAAATGACTTGTCCGATTGATGTTTTAGACACACTTTTGTTACGGCGAGATGGACCATCCATTGCTACGTTAGGATCCGATAGGTAAATTCCTTAAGAAGTTCTATATTTATGGATCAAAATGCCTCTTTTTTACAATATATTAAGAAATCTGAACTTGACTGAGCCTGTCTGAGCCAAGTTATTAAAAAAGCTTTATATTATTCACCCTGTTAAAAGGACAGAGTTAATTTTGAGTGAAACTCATCGCGCCATCTACCGGAGAGGACAGAACGATTTCTGCCGAGTTAACTAGTTTATTAGAAAGACTGATAATCATTCGGTCTTTTGGAGTTTTTATAAAAAAACATATAAAATCATCAATTTATATTTAGACAATGTTTATCAAATATTAGTTATATGACGTTATTTCTAATTGGCTCGCTTGACCCAAGAATACTTACCATACATATTTTATGTTAAGCATTTTTATGTGAAATTGTTTTTCGATATAAATGTTTTAAATGTTTCCAAATTCCAATCTTAAATAGCTGTTTTGCTCAAAGTTTAAATTTATCCTCAGCTTTTCAAACTATCATTTTATATAGGAGAATTAGTTAATCAAAAAACAGAAAATTTCTTTTGATTGCCTTATTTGTGACAATATATATTATATACCTACCATTTGTAAATAACATGTGACATTTTTTTAACAGGGGCATAGCCAAGGCAGGAGAGCCAAACAACATTTCACCAATGTCACCTGGAGTTTTATATATGGACGCTGGAGTCCATTCGACGTTGAGGCGGAAGCAACGCCGCCTTGCTAGAGAGAACCCAGGGGTGTTAACAGCTGTAGCAAAAGGTGCAAACATGGCCGTGTCGGAGTGCCAACATCAGTTCAAATACAGGAGATGGAACTGCACGACAAGAAATTTTCTACGTGGTAAAAATTTATTCGGCAAAATTGTCGACAGAGGTAAGAAGCGTTTTGATATCGTATGTCATGTTAGATATATCAAATTGAATGTTTCGAAATATTTAAATCCAACAATTTATACGATAAGCATAATGGAAACTGAATATTAAAATTATTTAGTAGAAGCTTAATTAGGGCGATACATTGATATAGGCTGACAATTTAATACCCGAGTCACGTTTATCGCTCCGATAAAATATTTAAAGAAGTGGACAATAAAAAACTCAACGCTTAAATTGCAAATTTAAGAACAAGCGTCATTCGTTTGTCTCAATTTTAGTATCGCAAAACAAAGCTAACAAAACAAGAAAAAGGAGCATAAGAAGATAAGCTCAAACCCCTTTGCAAAATTAAAAATAAAAATTGTCTTTAGTACTTCAGTTATAATCTTTAAAAAATGAAACCAATAACTTGTCACTAAATCTAAAATTCGTATGACGAAAAAAAAGTAAACGGCGAAAACGGTCTTTTTTTTACAAGTCCCCTAATCCCAGTTACAAAGAGTAGCTACAAATTAAGTGATATCTTTAGTTGGCAACCCTTTTAAAAGATTTTATCTGCATTCAACGGGAGGGTAGCGCGTCGGGGGCACACATATAAAGGGCTCATCAAGATAAAACATCCCGGATCAATTACATGCGACGGAGTGACGTTCCGATTCCCGGTTGTCGATGTCTCTTTTTATTTGAATTTTCGATGTTTCGTTTGAAATAAATAGAATCATTTCATATTTACATGTTTTAAAAAAGTATAAGTTCTAAATAACAGAGTATATTGTTACTAGTATATTTAGAGATATTCAGAGGTAGTTAACCTGGCAATGAATATTAGATTCAGATCTTAATCCGTATTAATTTCACTTCGATAAGTTAAAGAGAAAAAGCTAAAACACGTTTTATCCTGTTAACACCAGTTCGAAATTGCGCCATCGTAGGATCCATTTCAACCATTTCAATAGCATTAGATTTTATCTATAGATACAAATCGCGAACTGATCCCCATTAGCTGTACAATAAAAGTTTGGCTACAAAATTGAATACGTTGTCTGTTTGGTAAAAAGAGTGTTCGTATATTTTTCTTTAACGCTAACATCGATCGCTCAAGATACAGGACATTATAAGGGCGAGATTAATTCATAAAGCACTCTCGAAAATGAAAATGTTTACAACAACTTTTATTTGTCCAATAATGTTTTTACGATTTTCATATGACTTCTAATGGCTAGAAATACGATTCAGATTTGCTTGAACTGAAGTTTGAGGATGAAGTAATTATTTTGTTTTGGGTCAGACCTGCTCTATCTCCGGTGTCCGATTTCGATGCTTTGTACGCGATACACCTTATTATAGTTTCGCGAACATCTGGTTTGAACATTGCATATTATTTTTTTTTTTTTTTTTTTTTTTTTTTTTTTTTTTTTATAGAAGAGGGGGCAAACGAGCATGTGGCTCACCTGATGTTAAGTGACTACCGCCGCCCATGATCAACCGCAACACCAGGGGAATTGCAGGTGCGTTGCCGGCCCTTTAGAAAGGAGTAAGCTCTTTTCTTGAAGGTCCCCAGGTCGTATCGGTCCGGAAAAATCACCGGTGGTAAATTATTCCACAGAGAGGTTGTACGCGGAAGAAAACTCCTTTTGAAACGTACAGTGGTGGACCGCCAAGCATCCAGATGGTGTGGATGGTATCGGGACGTTTGTTATATTATTCTCAATATTATTCTCAATTACGGCAAAAAGGCCAGTTTGGGCAATCAATTCATAATTTTTAATCTTTTTACTTTTTACTTACTAACAGTCGCAAATGTTTAAAAATAATAACGCTTAGTTTTAATTGGATAACAGATCTAATATAATAAACGGACCGCAAGAGATCGCAATTTTCCAAAACAGAGAAAATCCTAGAATATACATCCAACTATCGTAAGGTGAAAGTAATGTAGGCAAATTTTACTTTATGATAGTTAGATGTATGTTACCTAAATCCAAAATACGCAAGAAAATATTAATGATATGTAAAATATCGTAATTATTATTTTTAAAGACCAAAAATTAATCAAATTCGATCTTTTATAAATAATTATGAATCTAACCTGACCTACTTTGTTGACACAATAAAGCTACCGACTGAAATAGATGAGAAATGTATCCGGATCGATAAAAGCGAATAACACTAAAAGGCGTTTCTTAGATCGAAGTTCAGCTCACATTAGAGGTTATCTACAAAATTAAGAGCTTTCGCTCCCATATCTCGGTCTAATTCGATCTCATTTTGAATTTGGTATGCATGATATTGGGATTGGTTTGTACTGACGTACCATGCGGTCCGGTTATTGACCTTTCCGCCTCTTATACGTTAATGACATGCGCAAACGCTTTCGGTAAACGATGTTTCTATTAACTTGAACACTCCGAAATGTCTCTCCGCTACAGAAAAGGGCCTAGGGCTCTAATAAAGACGATGCGTAAAAGAAATCGACGCATCTACTTTTTTGTAATCTAAACGTAAGTAATCTATTGATGACAAGTATAAAATATATCTTACAATTTCTTTTGTAGGGCTACTTAAAATATAGACGGCTAGTGCAGTAGCTGATGCGCTGTGACACGCAGGTTCAAATCCCGAACGTATGGCCTACAAATTCCGAATATGAATGTTTTATCATCATAATCATAGCCATTCACAAGTTCACTGCTGTACATAGGCTTCCCCCAAGGAATGTCGCAAACCACGGTCCTGCCTCAGCTGCATCCATCGACTTCCTGAGTCTTTTACCAGGTCGTCACGCACACACTTCGGTTTCCGATACGAGGCTGCTACACAAGAAACTTTCTTCCCCATTAATAGTCGGTTCTTCTCACCTCAGCACACTCGTCCGTTGAATGTTTATCCAAGTATAATTTATGTATGTAAAATGTCTTTCATAGGTTTTATTTTTTACATCTTTGGAATTAATTCATTATAATACTATTTTCTCAATTTTTTTACATTATATTTTTATTTGAATAAAATCAGAACAAAACAGTTTACTTAAAAGGTTCGACAGACATAAAATTTGTTTCAGTTAGGTTTACAAATAAAACAGAATTTACTAAAGTGAAGTTAAATTGATATTACTAAGGGTAACGTTTATTTTATTTGAATATATGACAAGAAAAATTACGCCCTCAATGCACAATTACATCAAGAGCCGATCAGAATGATTGTGCCTAGAGCATGAATAAAAGTTAAAAATATATTGAAGCGGCAACAAACTGTGAAAGTCGAGTAACATTTTTCCAAATTAAAAGCAAGTTACAGAACTGGGAGGCCTCGGACCACCGCGGTTAATAATTTCAATTTATAAAAAGAGCAAAAGGGATTATAAAATTTATATGCTATATGCTGATGCATTTAGAGTATATTGCTTCATTAAGAGCAGACAAGGCGGGCGAATCACGCAGACGAACACAACGGGTCGGTCGCAAAAATCTCCGATAAACATATTTTAATACATTGTAATTATGTCCATAAAAATGCAAAAAAAACAACAACATGAATCTCCGCAAGAACCCGTCACAAAGCTACTTGTTTAATAAAAAAGGTCATATATTTCATTTTACGTCTTCACAGTTCATCGTTATTCACAACCATTCAATAGGGTCCATTTCCTTAATTGTTACTTGTAAATACAAAGCCCCTCCAAACGGAGGACCAACTATTACTAATATAGATGTCGACACGCCATTGACGCTTGAAGCGATGTCGTCAATTCATTGTAATAAACCTCAAGGATCGTATTAACACTGTCGATGACAACGGTACAATAGTTATGCTTTTATGCTATGGGTCATTGTTGACCCGAGAATAGAAAAATATATGGTCTGGTTTCCCGCGGCGAGGCCTCCTGCCGCGTAGTTTAGCGATGCGACAGTATGCGTACACGCTCCACGGAAGCCCCGTTTACACCTAACGCAGGCCCTAATAGCAGGTAACTCGGCCAATAAAGCGACCTTTCTCAAATATTTCCTGTTTTAAAGGTTTCTCATGTCTGCCCCCGAGATTCTATCGTCGTGGGTGGATAAAACGTATAAAATGTTCCACACCGAAAATAAAACGGATATGAAATGTCTTCGACGAAATGTTTAATGCTCAATTAGATAAGCGTTTTAGGTTCGTGGTGTTTAAATTGTTTTTGAAATACGAGCGATTTGTTAATCCAAAACTGGACGACGTTAATGAGATATTGCTGATCAACGCAAATATGCTGTGATTTTTGCGCGACCTACTAGTATTCACGATTGTATTTTGTTGTCAGAGAACTTACTAAAAACGTAATTATTATCAGTGCTCTTTTCCAGAGAGTTTGAAAACAAATGTCTTTGTGTTTGGAATGAATGGATTTTCAAGTGGTAGGTGGTAGCGAGTGGTAGCTCCGGATGCTTTGTGCCTCTCACAATGAGTGATATATGACCGACGTAATTTTGAATTGTCACAAGAGTTCTCTCGGCTTGGAATTCAATGCTAAATTATCACCCATACGCAGCATAACTAAAAATGAATTACTGCACATTATTATCTCTATTCTCGTCGTTTCTTTATATTAAAATTACTTTTTATTATTACTCTAGTGTTGCTATCTGAAAAAGCCATAGCGATATTTTGCGTTAAAGTAGGTACTTTAAATACCTTTCTATACCTTAAAATATTTAAAGTGAACTAGCAATTCCCTCCATGGCATGAACGCGTTTCACCAGTGTAGTGTTAACTTTTTACGATTTGATCACAAAACCTCAACAGTGCTCTTCTTTGTTTACATAAAATAATAATGCTGAAGGTTTTGGTATTATAACCCAAACTTCTTACTTGACTTTTTTAAATGATGTTGAAGAAACACATCTGGCTCCATCGAGTAGCTTTATAGTTAAATAAACGAATACGGTTAAGCGACTGTCTTTAATACGGTTGTTTTAATATTTTTGAATAATTAAATTGATATTAATTTTGTAGTAGATAAATAGTTCTTAAATTGTTGTTAATAAAATTTAAAAGCAAATAACACACGACTATAATGACCTCATCCGATAAATCGGTCTTCGATAGGATGGTCTAAACCAGCCAAACGGGTGATTTATGGATGTTTTGAGTAATCACGTCTCATCAAATTTGAATAATGCGAGTCGCCATAAATAATAAAGTACAAGAGGACCGAGGCGCGAAACCATCATAAGTCAATCTTTCAAATTAATCTTACTGAAACACCTCTTCTTGACGACTTAATGCGGACGGGAACATATTTAATTAGTGCATTAATTTTGAATTATTTAATGGCTCTGTTTGTGGGCCCGGGTGTTCGTCAAATGTCAACAGTGATTAAGTTTTATTTTACAGTCCGGCCGGGAAGACGCACGCTTGGATTTACGAGTTTCTGACTTTTATAAATTCTCAACGCCTCTCCTTAACTGCCAATCCACTGGGATGGAATTATCGCTCGATGCTCGCGTTGTAAACCGACTTCGGGATCATTTATTATCCGCACAGATAATCTACCGACAGCACTTTATTATCAGTTATAATAATAATTTACTTTTATTGGTTCACATTACTCATATTTGTTTTTATTTGACTATGGGTTGATGGGGTGAAATTACCTCCATAAAATAATAGGATTTTATTATTAACTCCTTTAATGACACTCTGTATTATTATAGGCGAAAATAAGTTATACACATCATCTGATAACCGTTTTATATGGTCAGTTAATTAGGCCTGTGCAATATATTTACGTTTTATTAATACTGTGACTAATGCGCAGCCTCCGATGGAGGCTCCTTACATCTGTCATAATTTTTCTACGTCGCGATTAATTTGCAAAATGCGACAATCGGCTTTGTTGTCGAGAAAATCGATGGGCAACCGCGGCAGCAAAATAAATTATTGAATTATTTATACGAGCAGAAACTTTTTGTTTTATTTATTTTTACAATTAAATTAGAAAAAAAAAACTGAGAGTAAACCAATATGACAGTATATTGAACAACTTCAGATTACAATAAGACAATACACACATTTTTCAATAATAACATTTATCATTATTTCAATCAATATGATGGTGATTATACACTAGTCAATTTATTATTGCCTCAATGCAACTAAAGCTCCTTGGTGGCTCAGGGGCTTAGCGCTCGCTGTAAATTTTACAGTACGCGAGAAACCCTGGTTTGATCCCCGCCGGCACAAATGAAATTGTTAATTGCAATTTTAAATGCTGTTGTACTTGCTTGGCGTTAAAGGAAAACATCGTGAGGAAACCTACATGTATGAGAAATAAAAAATACAATTCGAGGACATGTGAAGCCTGCACACACGCATTGGGACAGCGCGGCGGACACTTCTTGCCCTAAAACCCTCTCAGGAGTGAGAGAAGGTCTTTGAAGAATTGTAACTTTACTTCCATTTTTACTGTCGCTGTACCTTGCGTACGCCACTGCTTTGGAAATTGTTATTGGCACAGGAACAATCTTTCCGACCCGACAAACCGACCGGCTACTAATTCAAACGCTCGAATATCTTAAACGCTGCGTGGAGGACACACAGTTGGTACACTATGGCCACAATATAGATTTTGATTTGCCCAAAATTCAACTCGGCCATCCTCAAAACCACTCTGTTGAAATTCCATGTATATTTGTAGGTACTAGTGTACGGGGTTTATTAGATACGTTTGTGACCTAATAATACAAAGACGTTGTGACCTCTACCGCTACTTAAACGTTTTTTTTATTTGTGGATTAAAATTATTATCAGTTCTCGGTTTACTAAATAAGGATGGTTTAGGAGAATAGTGGCTTAAGGTTTCTTTTCCGGACTGCGGGTTCAAGTCCACACGAAACAACTAGAAGGCTAAAAATAAATGTTTTTAAAGTGGATTTTTGTTCATGTCCAATTTATGTATATAAAATGCTTCTACTATTTTTTTTAAAACTACTTGAAAATAATATTGAGTATAAGCACAGAATAAATAATAGCTTTACAAGAAGTATAAGTGTAGAACACTTCGATGAATGATTCGTTGCGAAGGCGTCGCAAGTCATTGCATCATTATGACCCTGTCCAAACAACTACAACTTTTATTCGTCCGTTAAGACGTCAACAGTAAATAGGATTAGCCGAAAGCTGTTATTTTACGAGTGTAATTTACGCGTGCCATATTTAATTGGCCCGCACCTATTTGTTATAGTTAATGCGAGAGAACGTTTCCAAGTCATTACAGAAGATAAATGCCCGACTCTGCGACCGCTCGCATTCGTATCTTGAATTAATTTCGTCCGAGCATTGAATGATGGCGAAATTGACATTAAAATTCCCGGTCGAACATCTCAAGTAATTGCTGAATAAAATACTTTTGTGTAACATCCCAAAGGAAAGCACAAAAAGCGAATCCGAAGCGGACCGCGGCGTTGTGCGTTCAACGTAATTTATATCGGTGCACGATGACAACTCAATAAAAAAATGATTTCATTTGCTTATTGAGTCCTTAATAACGCTGGAGCATTCGCTGCGTTGTTTTCATATTTTATTACTATAAATATTAACAAATAAAAGTTTATCGTTTTCATTTTATATAGTTGTTGATATACGGAATTTGTAAATGTTGACAATTGGACCACCAAAGGCGTCCATGTTTCTACGCTAAACGAAAACAATAGACGGGGTTGTAATCGTTAACGTTTGCCAAGCCTTTGGGACAGGTTGATGACCAAAGTTATTAATTGACTTTATGCTGTAAAATGGAATTGTCTAAATTTATACAAAATTATTATGTATTTTCTTACAATATAAAATAATTATCTTCTTGGATATAGTTCGACATCACCTTGAATATCGATATTAATCGTTAAAAAGTACGTAGGCTATTAAATCGATATTAAGGAAGAGAATTCGATGCGCGCGCCGTACCACTTGTAATGATCAAATTTATAATCTCTCGTGTAGGTAAGAGGCACTTCTTTTATTTTCAATCGTCGAGATATACCCTCTCTCTTTTAATTGTATTTTATGAGTATTTGATTCTAATGCCGAGCTATTAATTATTTATAGTATTCGATACAAGACGAGCCCATCGATTTATGTGTGCGATGGTAGATGAATGAACTCGATTTATTATTATATATTGTTTTGTGAACTTTGTTGAAAAACTTGAAAACTTATAGTTTATTACTTTACGTCAAAATGCGCGTAAAAATGCCCTCCTTTTAATTTAAAACCATAATATGTTAAAATATAAACAGTATTATAAAAGGGAAACAATCTGTTAAATACCAATTCAGTGAAGGTTAGCGTCCGTTGACTTACCCACTGCAATTTACCGATGAGCCCGAACGTTTTGAATTCAAAAAATTTGATACCTATCGAGCTAACGATATGGTTGAATTTTTTGCTCTCGTAACCCCAAGCAATAATAAAATTTAATTAAAATATGGGACCCTCACATGTTGATATGAATTAATTATAAAAATGCCAAACATACCTATGTGAAAAATGCCATAAAACATGCATTCTTATTATCAAAACAACAATATTAAGATAGGAGTTTGTTTCTTCACGCCCACGCAATTCATTCTCAACAAATACGGCTTAAAACTCTGATGTAATTAAAATTTTATTATAGCGGACTTTAAATTGATTAAAAAAAAACTATTTTTATTTCAGCGTAATAAATCAACGCATCATATGTATAGTAGATCTTTTTAGCAATGAAAACAAGTTATCCCAAAACAAAATTAGTTCTAAAAGCTACAAAGCAGCACATCATTATCACCGTATTAAATAGTGCTTGTAATTAGTGATGATGAAGAAACATTTGTTAATTGTGTTTATTGTTTTATCGCAGGGTGCCGCGAAACCGCATTTATATATGCTATAACGAGCGCCGGTGTGACCCATGCTGTGTCACGCGCCTGTGCTGAGGGCTCTATAGAGTCATGTACTTGTGACTACTCGCACTTAGACCGCACACCGCATCGCACACGTGCTGCAGCAGCGGCTAACGTGAGAGTGTGGAAGTGGGGCGGTTGTAGTGACAACATCGGCTTCGGATTTCGATTCAGCCGCGAGTTCGTAGACACAGGTGAACGAGGCAAAACCTTGCGAGAGAAGATGAATTTACATAATAACGAAGCAGGCAGGGCGGTAAGTTAATATAAAATTAAGGTTAATTTTTAAGACTACAAAAAAGAACATACAGTCAAATTGACAACTGTATACTTTTTTGGAATCCGGTCAAAACTATTTCAAGCATTTTATTTAAGAAAGTAAGCCGAGTATTAAATCCAGTTTAACTTTCATTGCGGGAAGTCAAGTTACGGTCGCAATTTCGCAAACAAAAACCAAGGCAATCAGCGAGTAAAAGTCTCAGAGTGGTGATTGGATATCAATAAATCGAACAGTCAACACTTTCTGTCCAATCACTACTTGAATGGGAGCTGCTTATAAACATCCATAAAACAATCGCACTCGAGCGCTATCGCGACATGTCGTCGCTCCGTGTTTACATTACCATTACGGGTGCCGATCGATTGTCAGCCACTTGACATGTCGCTTAAGTCTAAAATTAATTATGCGTCAGTCGGCTCAACCCATCTCGTGGCGACGTGCATCGGGCACCCATTCGTTGCGCTCGCGCACCTCCCTCCCACTGCACACCCACATTTGCATACCCACTGTCCGTTCCTGCCTAAAATTCATCAAAAGGGGTCGTCGGACGCCTTGAGCCACCCAGACGCATCATTAACTGATGAACTTAATTCCTGTCACGACAGACGCACTGGGTGTTCGTGCGATGAATATTCACTGCATTCCGTCAATTGTTTAACACATATTTGGACACTAGACCGCACGACACAGCTATCTACATGTGAATGAATAAATACTGCCTGCTTTCTACGAAGCGCCTGCGCTTGGGTCTCGTAAAATATTTACAATCTCCATCCCTGCGTCATTTATCTACCTTCTAAGAATGATGAATGTCCCTCGAGTATGATTTATGATCTGTCTTCGCGCGGTGACGACTGGCCCACCACCCCACGATTTGTAACAATTTGCTCGATCGTGAGATTCGATCGATGGAGTGCGCTTAATAGATCATCGATCACTTGTGCACTGTTATCAAAAGAATTTATGGATATTTGGACATCATTATAGATCGCCTTATATAACTAAGTAAATTAAGTTTTCTTTGTTATAAGTTTTAATAATTACTCAATTTTTGTTGTCCACAGCACGTGCAGTCGGAGATGCGACAAGAGTGTAAGTGCCATGGCATGTCCGGATCGTGTACAGTAAAGACATGCTGGATGCGACTGCCGAGTTTTCGTTCCGTAGGGGATGCGCTTAAAGACCGATTCGATGGTGCATCGCGAGTCTTAATGAGTAACACCGACCTCGAGGCTCCTACGCAACGGAATGACGCAACGTCGCACAGGGTGCCGCGAAGGGATCGATATAGGTTTCAACTTCGACCGTACAACCCTGATCACAAGGCTCCTGGGACAAAAGACCTCGTTTACTTAGAGTCTTCGCCCGGGTTTTGCGAAAAGAATCCGAGGTTAGGTATTCCGGGTACACACGGTCGTGCATGCAACGACACTAGCATCGGTGTTGATGGTTGCGACCTAATGTGTTGCGGCCGCGGTTACAAGACTGAGACCAAGTTTGTGGTTGAAAGGTGCAATTGTACCTTTCACTGGTGCTGCGAAGTTAAATGTAAAACATGTCGCACGGAAAAAGTGGTTCACACATGTTTATAAATGTTCGAACGCTAATGATGTGTACACGTATGTGATCAACAAGAGAAACTTCACAAGTGTCGGACGCTTGTGACTCGGATACGAGAGTGGACCTGTTTTTTCATAAGCAGATAACAAACGGTGTATATAATCGCGTCACTTTTTTTTCTATCGAAGACTTATGTAAATAGTTCTATGTTGCTATTGATTACCTATTATTTTATGGGCTTGTATATGATTCGACCTAAAATTAAAGTAAACGGTTGCTCGTTTAGTTAATTTATTTGGTTATTAAATGCTTAACATGTGATCTACAAAGGTTACTTTTTGTAGACACTGAGTCGGGATTCTAATGAGACCAGTTTTACGTCAATTAATTTCTGTCAAATATAACAACTTTAGCTTCAAATTGAAATTGGACTTATTGGTTTCCTTACGCAGTTTGGAGGTGTACAAATTATTTATTTTAACTATCGTATGTACTTTATCGACTGGTCATTCGAAGAAAGGAGTCAAATTAAAAGAAACGCTAAAGACTACTTTAAGTGATATTTAATAATATCATTTCAAAGTTAAATCCTAAACATATACGTCATTATCATTATATTACGACAACAATAATAATATCTGTTTAATAAATATTTTCTATTTTATCGACGCATGCGTCGGGTGCTCGGGCGCAATAACTGTTTTAAGTCTCGGGAGCAAAATTATCATGTAATTATAATTTTGTATTAATTATTTTCCAAGCTAATGAAATATGTGACTTAACTTCATTTACATAAAGTGACTTCTTGGGTGTTCATTCGCTAAGGCTACATTCGGCCCTTATCGGTCAGTAAGTAGCGCCATCGTAAAAGTGTCCCACATTACGAGATAAACGCTCTCGAGAATTTTAATTAAATATTAAACGAATTAAATAATCAGTATTATACGTGTAATATTGTATGTGTGTTGCGTCCGATACGTCAAGATAGATATATGATAACGTGTAGTCATTTGACACACCGCATTCATTTTATGCAACCGTGCGAGTACTAAAATTATCCATAAAGTACAGTAGCATGTTTAATAACTTTATTTTCCTTATTATAGTGTAACTTACTTTTACTACTACTGTACTGCAAACTGTTGATTTAAACAGACAACACTATTGTGAATTCCTTACATACTAAAATTCTTTGACAATTTATCAATATATTCAAGAAAGGTGGCACGTATCATTTGATGAATCCAAATTAATGGCAGGCTATATCGACAGTTTGCAAGAGGAGCTTTATTAATAATTAATGTATATGAAGAAGATTGATATTTCAAATGTGATATAATAATAGGTTATGAATTTACTGTTTGATAGATAGTATTGCATTACTGAGCTTAATTATGTATGATATATATTACGTACTAAAACAATCGCTACGTATTTTAATAAGATATTTATTTTAAACTGTTTTAATTTAATTATACTTTTTGCTCTAATTTAATGTTAGAGTAAAATGAATTTTAATTCTAAAAGATTCCGATGCTGAAATATCATTGTATTATTTTTTTATTTAAAGCAGGCATTTTAACATTTCTATTTAAATTAAATGTACATAGGTGTTTTTTTGTGATAGATTGTGTTCACCAATGACGCACTCTATGTTCTAAAGTATTAAGTACCACGTCGGAGTTAAAAGACTGAAGCGTTTTTAATCGTAGTTATAATATCCTTGACTGGATTTATAAAACCATGATTAAGTTTGTAAAGTGGAAACGATTGTGATAAAAAGTATTTTATTCTATTTTAAACTTTCTCCTGTCATTAATCAACAACAGTGCCATTTTAAATCAATTTTAAAAACAAATTAAACAGTATCATTTTTAGTTCTGACAGTGTTTTAACGAAATACCTTGCCTTTATTATATTGCCATTTTAAATTTAATTTAATGCATGTAAATATTTTGTTTAATTCAATCTTTTAAGTTATTTATGTGAATTTAGTATTTTAATTGTTAATATTAGGTAAACAATACAATTGAAATCAGCTGAACTAATCTGAATCTCAAATCCTATTGTTTGTATAGTGAATGTACCTTTTTTGAAATTATATTTCGTCCAGTGACCGCATCGAGGTTGACACATTATTGTAATGGTATTGGTTGTACATTAGCATTATCTATTTATGATTAAAATATTGATTAGCTGTTACTAAAAATACAAAATTGATCAAAAAATATGTTGTTTTAATAAAATATCCCAAAATAAAAATACTTTTTTCTTTGTCGGTTTCGATAATAGGGCTACTCCTGGACACTATTGCTACGAAGGACGTATTATAGGATAGCATATGTGGGGTTTTAAGGCATTTGCCTTGGTTATCTTCTTTTCCAAGATCAACCATACTTACATACACTGCGCCCCATTACTCAACAAATTGACGACTGACTAAAGATTAATACACTAAAGTAAGGGATAAAAGCAATGTTCCTGCTTCAGTTTTCCAAGTTGCATTATAAAGTAATGGCAGAAGCGTTGCTCCAGTGTAAATTGCAAATTGTGATGTTTTTTGATGGCGAAGGCGTCGCAAGCCATAGCATCATTATGATCCTGTACAAACTACTATAAAAACGATTACTCGTATTCGTCCGTAAATATGTCAACAGTAAATTGAAGTCGGTGAAAGCTGTTATTTTACAAGTTATGTATCCTCACGATATTTTTTTCACCGCCGATCTGAAAATATAACAGAACGCGAGTAACCCGGGTACGATCCCCGCCGGAACCAATGAAATTGTTAATTGCAATTTTAAGTGCTGATTTACCACGTGCTCGGCGATGAACGAAACCATCGTGAGGAAACCTGCATGTCTGAGGAATAAGAAAAAATATTTCGATGACATGTGAAGTTTGACAACACGCATTGGGACAACACGGCGGACACTTCCTTGCCCTAAAACCCTCTCAGAAATGAGGGGAGGCCTGTGCCCAGCAGTGGGATGTGTATAGGCTGTAACTTTACTTTACTTTTAACTGAAAGTAAAATCCGCTAGATGAAGTGACGACTAGGTAAGATATGCAGGAAGTCGATGGATGCAGGTGGCTCAGGTCAATTTGTAACATTCCTTGGGGGAGACCTGTGTTCAGCAGTAGACTTGTGAGCGTCTGTAATTATGATGATGATGATAATCCACAGACCGGCAGTGATGAGCAGCTTTACTAGCATAGGGAATTGTGCTTAGAAACTCAAATACTTATCGTGGTCAGCATGGCCAAAAGTTACAATATAGTTAAAGATTAGCAGAAAATACTTATAAGCATTATGTCCGCCTTTGATGTTATACAGTTTGTTAGGTCCAATAAATAATAAATTAATAAATAAATAGAAACTCCCACTCGTCTCATCGTTTAGGAAAAGATAAATCTCTTAATTTCCTCCTTCTCCCTCCCACCACCGGACAATCAGACGAGTAAAGTCTCCAGGTACCACGCCGTCCGTCCCTTCGTTTTCGACGTACCAAGTATTCGAACTAAATGGTTTGCTGCACCGTTCGCCTTGCATACAGTAAATGATTGGAGTAATCTGTCAGCATCTGCTTTTTATCCATTACAACGTGGGTGTCTTCAAGAGAAGAGTGAAAAAAATACATTTGCACTACAAAGTGGAGATGTAGGTCAGAATATAGTGGAGGCTTAATTGGTGGAATGGTCAACAAACTAGCACTGCTTGCCAAACACGGAGAACAGTGAACCATTATGTTTGACGATAGGATACTCAGTTAATTAATTCATATCACATGATCAAAATCTTCAGGACTGTGTTAGTTGTTTATACGTGACAGAGCCATGCTGCAGCTATATTATTATTGTAGCATTAATGCGTCGGCTTGACCGGGATACGACCACGCTCCCACAGAATAGCAGCCTAAAATAGTAGCCTTGTGATGTTGAGTTTCGTATGATGAGTGTAGAGAATCGGAGACAATTTTTACTGGAGGCGAGGTATTCCATATTAGTCTTCAGGGGTGACAAGGCATCTGCATTTTGACTGTTGACTGAGCATGAAGACACTTACCATCGGTAGACTGCGTGCTCGTTTGTCACCCTTATTCTCTTTATAAAAAAATGATATATATATTAATATATATATATATATATTCGCTGGAATTACTTGGAAGATTTGTCCACCCTAAGTAAACGGATTGATAAGAGATGAGCAGTAAAAATTTAGAATCGTTTGGCAGGAGGGGGTTAGGGAGAGTGGAGAGTGGAGTGTCCCCTACACCCCGTAGGGTACCTACCGTTCTTGAAAATAATTAAACAGAGAATCTTATAGATCTAACCTCAAAATGGGTAATTTTATACTATAAGAGATAATAACCATTTTATCATTCGATTTCGATGAATTTTTTAAATCCACTCAGAAGTAGGAGCGCCGTCGACCGCGCTTCTCTCGACTGCACTACGTTGAGTGGCGTGGTACTTCCCTCCCCCGACTCTCTCCCGTAGCGCAGCCAAGGGAAGCCCGATCGACGGAGTTCTGCTTCGCGGGGCGGGGCTCCTACTTCTGAGAGGTTTATGGAAAAATAACCACGAAGGAGATGACGAGGTCTATTCTTATACCAACAAACAATGATAACATTTATCAATATCAACCAAAAAAAAATGATAATATTTATTCTCTACGGCAAGAGGGGGGGGGAGGGGGGCGCAGGGGGTGTCAGATTTCCGGGTTTTCTGGGATTTCTGGGTGCTCAAATATTTTTAGGCGGTAAAACGCGCAACCCCTAACCTAACTCAACTGAAAGGATTTCTGGGTGTAAAGTATGTAATAGTCATTTCTT